TATATATATATATATATATGTGTGTGTGTGTGTGTGTGTGTGTGTGTGTGTGTGTGTGTGTGTGTGTGTGTGTATGCACGAATGACATGCCTATACCCATACAAAGTCAAACACCGACACAGAATAGTATACGTGTATGTATACCAAATGCAATTCAGTATTTCTGTCTATTGCAGAAAAGGGAATTCAACTTCTGCGGAAACAATGTCTAATCATTGATAAATTCATCACTCGCGACTAATATACAAGTTAATGCACATTTTAAGTATTAACATATATACATAAAATGCATAAATTACATCATGAATGCACGAGTGCTGTCGTTTATTTACAGTTGCGTATAAAATTCCCGTTTCGTAAAGATAAAATCATAATAATTCAGAAAGAAACATTTAAATATAAAATATAATAAGATATTTTAATCGCATATCGTATCAGAGACAAATTGATATACCGAAGTGAGTTCATCAATGATGGCTATATCTTAGCCGAGCTGACATCTAATACTAATAATAATAATAAACTTCATCGCCAATATCGTCGAGTGAGCGGGAAGTTGTGATTTGGGACTGTAATAGTTAATTTTCCTCGTTAACGGTCGCACACAATTCGCACACAAAGATAGTACCTTTACATCTCCAGTTACTAATAATTGTTCGATAAGAATGTCTGCTAATGCTTCTGCGGCCATACAAATTACACCTCAAATACTTAATGATATTAACATGACAGACTCAATTCACAAACTCAATCAGACTCACGCACGCAATCAAATGATTGAACAGCAAAAGATGCACACGATTCCATTGCCTGAAGACCCGCGTACATTGCAGCTGGCATTGGAGCTATCCTTGGTGGGCCTCAATGAGAGTAATCAAAATAATAGTTATGCTCAGCCAATACTCGCACAGAGTGATTATGATATCGGCGACATTAATGTGGTGTCTGGCGCATTCAACAGGACCGATGTAGGGCCCATGAACAATCTACCGCTACCACCGACGACTGCATCTGGGCTTTTAATGCCCTCCGTTGGCCTGGAGGAAAGATCAAAGAAGTCACAAAATATGACCGAATGTGTTCCAGTTCCCAGTTCCGAACATGTTGCAGAAATCGTGGGACGCCAAGGTAAGGAACCGTCATACATATTGCCCACTATATTAATTAAACTTGTCTTCCTGGGACTAACTGCATTGACTGACTGACTGATTAATTCCTAAAATGTACATTATCATTAATTCATTATTTTCTTAAAATTGGAATCGATCCGCTTTGGCGTCGAATGTTCAGAAAAAGCTTCAAAGATGTTAGAAATATAGTCAGATTCTTGGTTACAAAATTGAATCATATTCTGTGGGCTAAACTAATGGTTATTAAATTATGGTTAATATAGATAAACAAATAAATTTAAACAATCATATAAAGCCAAATACGCACTGCTATACCGCTAAAATGATTTTTTTTTTTTTAAATATTATTTAGGGTGCAAGATAAAAGCTTTAAGAGCAAAAACCAATACCTACATCAAGACTCCAGTGCGTGGAGAGGAGCCAGTATTCGTTGTAACAGGACGCAAAGAAGATGTAAACAAGGCCAAACGCGAAATACTTTCAGCTGCTGATCACTTCAGCCTAATTCGAGCCTCACGGAAACCATCAATAGAAGGATCGAACAGCGGGATAAGTGGAAGTGGCAAATCGGGTTCATTGGCTGTGGGCATTGTTGCTAGGGCGCAGTCTGGGCCGCCTTGTTTGCCCGGCCAAATCACAATTCAGGTGCGTGTACCTTACAGAGTCGTGGGCCTAGTTGTTGGGCCGAAAGGTGCCACCATTAAGCACATACAACAAGAAACACAAACATACATTGTCACCCCGTCTCGTGAAAAGGAACCCATATTCGAGGTAACTGGACTACCCGAAAATGTGGAGACCGCACGCAAACAAATCGAGGCTCATATAGCCCTACGTACGGGCAATAGCGCTCATGGTAGTGAGAGTGGTACGGAAACCTTAGAGTCACACGAATACGCTACGCTGCACACGATTAATACGCTCAGCCAGATACTAAATGACGATCTTAACTCAGATATCTTGTCATCAATCTATACAAGCGATATTGCACCCAGCATTAATTACGTAGACAACTCTCATAGTGTCATTGATAATATTTCAAGTTCGAGCACTGCCAACTCTATCATGCCAGTGCATAATTTAACGAAATGTTTTCAAACTTCTGATATAGTAGATCTCACACCTAATRTAACTCCAACAACAACAACGGACAGAAACTTCACGCTGGCACTATCGAGCACTGTAATTGACCTTAAGGCGCAGGGCTCAAAAACCAATTCATTATTCCGCAATACAAATACCAATATCAATGCTAGTCTAAATGCAAATGCCAATGTCATTGCCAATAGCGCCAACATCAATACCAGTGCAAATGCCAGTGTCAATACCAACACCAACAGTAATAATAATACCAAATCGTTGTCATTCTGTCCACCCACGTCCGCCTCTGCAAATATTTCATCTGGCTCTTGTCAATCAATCTCAACTAACATATTAACGCGTTCATGCTCATCTGCCTCCTCGACTGCATCAACTAAAAGCACAAACAACAGCGCCAATAGTACTAACAGCGTTAATACTCCTCCAGAGCTGTTGAATATATGGAAAAAATTGAATGATGCAATTGACGTTGATGAGGGCATTGGAGACTCTCCCAGCATTTGGAATCTTCCATCAACCACAACAACTACAGCGGCATCCCATTGCTCGCCCACGGCCTCAATTAGTCCAACGGACTCGCTGCTAGGGGAGCACAGCCTAAACATTAGTCAGAAAATTTCAGGCAACAGCACCAATAAGGAACCATGCACCAAAAATGGTTCTTCATTATTGCAACATCATAATCAGCGGAACCTATTGAAGAATAGTTCAGATAAATTACATCGTGAATGTTTTGTATGCAATGAGAAAGAAGTGACGACCGCTCTAGTTCCTTGTGGTCACAATATGTTTTGTATGGACTGTGCCAATCAAATTTGTGTCTCAATAGAATCCATTTGTCCCGTATGTCACTCAATTGTTTACCATGCCATGCGAATTTTAGCATAAATTATTTCGAGAGAGGTGTATGTAATATTTAGTATTATTTCAACAATAATCAAAACTACGTCAAAATCTAAAATAAAGAACACCTAATTTGAGGGCTCCGCAATGGTAAATAAGCACTTGTTCATCTAATAGATTTTAAAGGTCATGGGAGGCTACATCGATTTCATTAATAGCTTTTACTTATATAATTTGTAAATGAAATGGAGATGCAACAGAAAATATTATGTATTTTAAAAACAAAAAGACTTTCAATGAATTCACTTTTATTTCGGGATCATAATTTAAAGAAAATTAGAGGATTCCCATCAAATCCGATTTCGTACTAGTATCGGAACGCATTTAAAAATTCCATATTAAAGTTATGAAACCGTATATATATAAGTTTCCTTTAATATAGAAATGTTAATATATATATGGAATACATACAAGTAAGAACGTTGCAGTCAGGCGTTACCAACTCCAGAATACTAATATTACTAGTAACTCAACCATCCAAATTTGATTTGATTCCAGCTCTTAAAGTCTAGGAGATGTAAACTTTTACGGTTTGCCACGCCCCTTGCGGGCAGAGATATATCCGCCATAGCTCTTTAGACCTATGCGTGTATATACAAAATATGCCCAAAATATAGCAGAGTTTGAAAAATCACTATACCTTCATGTCCGATTTGCCACGCCCCTAGTAGGCGTAGATACATATATCCACTATAGCTTATTGATCTTGGGTGGTCGACGCGGATCTACATTCCAAATGTCAGCTTTCTAGCTATTCAGCTAAAATGATTTCTGGTATATCGCAAAATGCATTTTCCGATTTGCCACGTCCCTAGTGGTCGGATTGGGACAATTTATAGATCGGAGATATACACGAGTATGTTCTCCGAATATCAAGTCTCTAGCTTAAATAGCGCCGAAGTAAACTGCGTTCATACGGACAGACGGACAGCCAGCAAGACGGACATTGCACAAAACCAATATACACATTTCACTTTCGTAAATGAGTATAAAAATAAATACTAATACAAAAACAAATAGAAATAGATATATGACATATATAATCATTTTTAACACTTTCAGATATATGAAATAGTATTTTATATGTAAGATCAATTTAAAAAGTCGAATATTTTTAGACTTTCAAAATTAGTAAACTATGTCGTATATTGGTTTTGAAAGGCAAAATACAAATGTAGCTTTTAGTCATAATATACTGCACATATACGCATAATCCATGCCCCTATATACTGTTTACACTACATATACAATATGCATAATGGTAATCAAGTTGCTAATTAAGTTGACTGATAAATAGGCGGTAATACATTAGGTACATGCATATATACGAACTTTTTTAAATTTCAATCCAAATAATATAAGTTGTATTAATATTTAAATTCATAGAAAATTATATAAGAAATACGTATGCATATATAT